ATTTTAATTTAATTAAATAAAAATATATTAAATATATAAAATTAAATATATAAGTTTCATCTTTTTCAGCGTCAACCAATATAACATGTTTAATAATTAAACCGTGTAAGATGATAAATTTAGTGCAAATATTAAATCATATTGATATTTTCGATAGCCATTTTTTGTAAGCATAACTCCTGAAAAAATAACAAGCATGTTAAACGAATTTTGAAAGTTTGGTTGATAAAAATAAAAAATGTGTTTAAAAATGGTTTATTTTATATATGTTGATTTGCATTCCAGGAATATAGTTGTAAAAATTTTAAGAAGCTCTCAAACTAGATTTTAGACTTGTTTGTTTAAAATTAAAAAATATGTAATTTTTTTACAGCTTAAATATTTTATAAAAAAAGATATGTATTTTGTAGAAATTTTATAAAAAACAGAACTTATTTTTATTTGGTTACAATCATAAAAAGGTAATTATTAATTATTTTTTAATTTTACTATACATTTATTTATTTTTGTTTTATAAAAATAATTTTTTTATTTTATTATTTTAAAAATTTATGATATCTTTGTCCATTCTACCTTTTTAAAACACTTGTTCTCATCTATCATACTCATATTAGATTAGTTTCAGGAGCTGCTCAAAGTAACTTCTAAAAATAATTAAAAATTAATTTTTTTTACTTTAATTATTTTTAAAAGCTTAAATAAACATAATAAAAATTCATAAAATATATTTTAAAAATAATTTATTTTTATAAAATAAGCTGAAATAAATGAGCCATTTCACACCCATGCAATGCACAACAAATATTAAAAATAATATTGATTTAATAATTTTAGAATAAATAGGTAAATTATCCTTGAACTTTATATTAAATAACATTATAAACCATAAATTTATTTATTATGTAATTTATTTTTTTTTAAATGTACAGTCTAGTCTTTGTCATAAATAAAAATTAGCTTTTATTATTAATTGACTACATATGATAAAAATTGACATCAAAAAATTCAAAATAAAATAAAAATAAAAATAAAAATAAATCACTCATCAAATTTAAATCTGAACGTGCAATAAAGCGACTGTGCATTGTGACCAGGCTCTAGAGTTGCTAGTCCTTTATTATATGATTATCTCGGACATGCAGGCCCCCGCCCCCAACCAAAAGGGGGGAAGAGGGTGTCTCCATTTCTCTTCCCTCCATTTCCCTCCATTTCTCTTCCATCACTTTTGGATCAAAAATTTAACGGTTCAGATTGAGGCTTTAATAAAATTATTATTTTATTTTATAAAAAGGTGTATAAATAAATTTAAATTATTAAAGTTTAATCTAAATCATTTAAAACTATAATATTTTATTTATATATTTTATATAAAATTAAAATAACAATTTTTTTTAAAATTAAATCTGAACCATTGAAAAGGGTTAATCCAAAGGTGATGGGAGAGAAATGGAGAGAAATGAAGGAAAGAGAAATGGAGACACCCTCTTCCCCCAAAAGGGGCAAAAGAGGTTGCCCACGTTCATAGTAAATTTCATTTATATTATTGAGAGTTAGAGTAGTCCAATTTGGCTCTGCCATCTCCCCGCCGCCAGTCCTTCATTTGTAATTCACTAAATTGTAAAAGTAAGTGTCTCCTGTCTATGTAGTAAAAGGTTAATTGATTCAACCAATCATATTTTTGAAGAATTATTTTTTATTGAGTACACGTAATAATGAATTAACTTTCCAAAAACAGTTTATAGAATTGTTAGTTTTAGTATTTATAACATGAATATTTTTATTGAGTACTTATTGTGATCTATTGGAAGTCGGGCTTCTAATTTTTGGATAAAGGGTTGTTTTCTTTCTTTTTTGGTTGCAGATATTGTTTTCTTTAAATAACATATTCTTAGCAAGTTTTACTCTGATTCCTTAATTTCCCAGAAGTCAAGCTACCCCTAAAATCATCCTTGTTTACGCTCTGCTTTCAATATATTTTCCTGGATCTATACTTGTTTTTGGATATTACGTATCTCAAAATAACCATTTATGTGATCAAAATGATGATATTGAATATTAGCAATTCAGGCGAACGTGACAATTCCAGTTCTTTCAAAGTGAAAAACCCAACCAGGCAAAGCAATTAGGACGTGTGACCAAATAGAATACAATTATTCGCAGGCGACTCCCACAGTCCGATCTCATTGAGGTCGGCTTGGTTTGTTGATGGGCCCACTTGCATAGCATGCGCATCCGGTTGGATAAATATCTCTGACTATTCCGCCACATATGATTAGCCCAGTTAATGAGCACCTGGTGCCTCGTCAGTCAGCGGCGTCATTCTCGTCATTCTTTGCTACTTTTTTAACTTTCATCAATTCTGTAATCAATGCAATCCCGTGTTTGGTCGTGGGGAGGAGAAGAAGGAAGGAGAGGAGTTATAATTTTTATTAGAATTTTAATATAAAAAAAGGGAAGCGAAGGAGAAGGAGGGGACTGGGGACGGAGAGGGAAAAAAACACCTCCATTTGAGGTGAGGATTGAGGTGAAGGGGAAAATTCATTGTATTTTTGCTACCCTATTTTTCCATCCAAGCAAAGCCAAACAGAACGAGAGAAAATATCACTCCTTGTACAATATATATATATATATATATCACTTCTATTTTAGGGCTACATAAAAGATAAAATGGTACTGAACTTCATTCTAACTCAAAATTTGGTTTCTTTCATGAAAAGGGTTGGGTTAGGCAACCCATAGTCCAGTATTGTCCAGTAATAACCCGAAGATTAACAGGACTAGACTTGATCCATAGGATTGGGAGGCTGATCCTGTCAGTTCAATATTCACTTAGCTTTTTTTTCCTTTTTTTTTATTCTATGAGAGGCAATAATCCATTTCAACATAATAAATTCAATTAAGATAGTAAAAACACTTATAATAATAATAAATCTATAATAATTTTCAACAATAAAAAAAAATTTCTGTTGTAGTTCAAGTGATATAAATTTATAACTTTAACAAAAACAGTGCTCAACAAAATTCAACAAAAAAAATATTTCTGTTGTAGTTCAAATGATTTAAATTTATAACTTTAACAAAAACAGTACTCAACAAAATTCAACAACACTATATTATAACAGCAATTTAGAAACAAACTTAACAAATCTTCATACAATTATCTTCTTAGTATCAATTACACTTCAAACATTTGTCAAAAAGTAAATTAATTATAATTATAATAAAAAAATTAATAGGACTGGACTGGACCAAGTGGTTCGAATGCTTGGTCTCTTGTCCAATTCAACTCGAAAAAATAGTCTGATATTTTTAGTCTTTTTGATCATAAAGGACCAATGACTATACATACCAAACAGACTGAGACCATTTTAAATTAAACTGGATCAGATAAGATTAAAAGACTTTTGCAAGCCCTATCCTATTTCTCGACCAAGCATGATGGCCTTGTTTTCTTTTTTATTTACTATTTTCAGCTGATCTCTCCTACGGTTGTTCTCTTTATTTCTTCCTTCTCTTCGTTGCATTACATGTCTCATTCTCCCCTCCTTCTCTACGTGCCCATTCCCTTCACTGATTTGTTTCTTTTTCTTTTTCTCTAGTCGCTAATTTAATTCTATTACGTAATTTTTTTGTACATAACAAAACAATAAGATTCTAGTATTTCTTATAAATTGCATAGAATCTGAAACACATGTCACACTATGTAGAATTTATAAATAATAACATAACTCTAATAAAGTGTATATTATAATACATTGGCGTGGACTGACAACTCACTGTAACGATATTATATAATATAAAATACCATTATATAATATAAAATACCATGGGCGAGTTCTTTTATTCACCCTGCCCACATGATAAAATTCCATGTGGTTGGATTTGGAATACCATAGAAAAATACCATATTCATTAGGAATATTAGAACAAAGAAATATAAGAGTCAAGAAACTACTCTATGCTTGTCTTTGTTTTATTATAATTTATATTTTTTTATATAGTATCAAGTGGTGAGGTCGGATCGCCATGCAATCCATTTGTTTCAAACTTTCAATCTCCTTTATGCCTGGGTTGCTTACTTGCTTTAACATGGATTAAGGCTCATTCCCACAATACCATCTCTCAATGTTGCATCTATTCCCAAAGCTTTAAGCCTTTCACAATAAGTTTTTTTCATGGGTTATTATCAAAATATTATCTGCTCCTTCTTTTAATGCGAGACATCACCAAACTAAGCACCGTGGAGTTTAATATTTTTCACAAAATTTATCTCTACTTAAAGTTAGATATTTAAATAAGGATTCGGGGCTTTAAAAATTAAATTTTTTAAAACAACTGAGCTTGAGAGCCTAATCTTAATAAACTTTACGAAAGATGGATAAGCACACACATTTAATTAATAATGACACAATTTAGTTAATATCTATTGCAGGTAATGAAAAAAAAATTACAAAGATAATTAACATTGAATCTCCACTCTCATCTTCAATAAGTGAATCTACATACAAGAGATTTAACATTTTATTTTTAGATGACGATGAGGAGATTTTAAATTTACATCTATAAAAATTTTAATTCTCATCTTAAATTTAAAATTTTAAATATTTATTAAATTTTATGTGAAATTTAATTTATTTCATGTTGAATTATAAAATATTTTATTTAAATTAAAATGTTGGAGTTTTTTTTTTAAAAAAAAAAGTTTAAGAGCTCGATCCTAAATGTTTTAAACAAGAATCGAGTTTTAGAATCAAGTTTAATTTTTAACAATCGGGTTTTAGAGTTTGGGTATCGAACCCCTAAACTTTACTTACATCCTCATCCTTTAGACTTTCTTACCATGTAGTGTAAACTTTTGTTTTTTAATATTATTATTTATCTTTATCTATTATACACACACACATATTCCCCACCACACAGCAGGGTGGCACACAGCCACGCTCATTTTTGTTCAAAATTTTTACATATATGCGCCGATGCATTATTTTATTTATTTTTATTTTCTCTCCCAAAGATGCATTATTTTATTGAAACCTGAATTATACACAAGTAAACAACCTCCAGTTCTTCGCCAGAACAGAAGTGGACTGAAAGGTGAAGACCGAAGACCGTGCCGTTCGTCAAATTTGTCCGATTTCAAAACCCCATGGGTGAAGGCTCAGAGCAAGGCATGAAGAAACTGGAACCGAAAGCAAAAGCAGCAGAAGACGCCCAACAAACGAATAAGGATTCGCTGCTCAAAGACGAAGACGACTCCGAACAGAAGAAGAAAGACCACACACTTCCTGACGCATCCCCATCCTTCGCACAGCAGGCTCCTCATCTTCGGAGCCGCAAATCACCGTCCCCGCCTGACCATTCTTCTACGGAATCGCCGATTTCCGAGGGTCACTGCTCCCCCTCTCCCACCCTCGACAAACGCTTCTCTTCTCCGCCGCAAAACTCGCCTCCCCGCTCCTCGCCGGATTCATCGATCTCCTCTGATCTCTGCTCCATCACTGATGGAGCCCCTCCGGTGGAAGAGCATCGTTTCTCCCCGAAGCCACCGGAAAAGCCTGCATCGCCGGTTGTGGTGGCTAATCGGTTTCAGGTGGAGCCCAAGGTGGTTACCAAGGTAGATCCGGGAGCCCAAGAAGGTGTCGTGGGCGTCAATGATGTTGAAGAAGGCACTGGTGCCGCCTTCGCGGGGAGCGATAATCGGCGATTAAGGCCAGACGTATACAGTTTATTGAGGTCGAAGAAAGAGAGCAAGTTGAACAAAGCTTTGTTGGGGCTTAGGATCATTGCTTCTGTTCTCTGCTTGGCCTCTCTCTCGGTTTTGGCAGCTGATAGGGAAAAGGGTTGGGCTCTGGACTCCTTCTACGTGTACAAGGAATTCAGGTACGTTGCTAATCAAATCTCAGTACTGGTTTAATTTTGCTGATCATATGAACAAATTGCTTCCCTTCATATGTCATGTAATTCAAGCTCTAGGTTTATTTTATTGCCAAGTTGCCAGCATGGTCTATATTCGTGAATTATTATCTTTGAAAAGTTCTAGCACTGATTTCTTCTTCTTCTTTTTTTTAAAAAATCAATGTATGATTGCAGGTATACTTTTTCAGTTAATGTAATAGCATTTGTTTATTCTGGGTTGCAAGTAATTGGTCTAGTCAAGTACCTTATCACCGGAAAATACATATTGCAGCATCGTCTAAGGGGTTTCTTCAATTTTTCCATGGATCAGGTAAGACAGTCCTCCCTTTCTGAGATCTGTTTCATGTGATATCCAGTGTTCTGCAAAACGTAGACCCTCTTGGCTTTCGGTATCAGCAATGCATAATTTGTTGTGTTGATCGGTGGGCATTGATTCATGGAGATAAGCCACGCGAGATTATAAATTAAATAGGTCTTGGACAACTTTTGAACGCCTTTCTATTGCTGCCTTCCCCCGGTTTATATATTGCCTTTTGCTTTCTTAAAGTCGTTTTAATTGTCTTTTCTTTTCTTAAAGTTGTTTGTTCTAGTGCTGGTTCTAAAGTGAAAGAATATGTTTTACCTGAGCATTAAGGCCTTCCAGATCAGTTCTTTACTTCAGAAACTTTTAGTAACAATTGAGGTCCCATGGATTTTATTCAATATGAGGAACAAGCCATGCTTTTTACAGTTTCATGCTATCTACAACTTACGAATAGTGCCACTTATTTCAGTATTACATTTATATTAATATTGATACTGGTAATTTCTTTTGTTTGTTTTCTAATAGATCAAGGAATGGTAAGTTGTAGTTCCCAATTCCAACTCTATTTTATATCCATGAGAAAACGATGACTAGATGATGCCCTGTTATTCCTTGTAGGAAAAAAAAAAAAAAAACCTTCTTAACAATTTGAAATAAATTACTTTTTAGTCTTCAGGTCCATGAAACTAACGCGTTACAGTAATCGAAAGTTTTAGACTATTCATCATTCTAATTTTTCTTCCTATAAAATGCAGTCTAAATTGCTATATTTTCCAGAATTTGATGCTTATATTGCTTGCAAGCTGCTGAGGTGGTTGGTTGCATTGCAGATCTTGACTTATCTTCTAATGTCTGCATCATCAACGGCTGCTACAAGAGCTTATGAATGGGAATCCAATTGGGGTGAAGACGTGTTCCCAGAGATGGCTAATGCATCTGTGGCTTTGTCCTTTGTTGCGTTCGTGGCTTTTGCCTCAATCTCTGTTGTCTCTGGTTACATCCTTTGCAAGTTCAGGTAGTTTATATTTTTAAATGACTGCCCTTTGCACACTCTTCTGTCTGTTGATGGATGGAATTATTCATCTTGCCCGATAGTTGAATGCCTTCAAATTTCAGAAAGAAAATTCGTTTCTGAAGAGATGTATTACTTTTTCAACCTCTGTACAGAAATAGAAAAAGATACTGAATGTTTATATCTAGATTTGTATAATAGATTGTTTACAACCTGTTGACTCTTTTGTCTTTTTTACCTACTGATGCAAGTTTATCTCACACGATTGTTTAGGGGGAGGGAGAATTCTTCTCCTGTGGCATGTCTTTATTAGTTGCCTATTTTGGTATTTTTATGAGGAATGCCGAATGCTGTATAGATTTTGATTTAACTTTATTAGTAGAGTTGACTATCTCTTAAAGAGAGAAGTTGATGAGGAATTGTAGAAAGAAGCTGCCCGTTAGCAGTTGATTTGGGGCGTAAAGGGTGTACGGAATCACACCTCAATCGTAACATGGTTTCGCCAATCAGATTCTGATTACCGGCTCTGATTATCAGAATCTTGGTGAACATGGAATTGCAAGTCCGGATTAGTCACGCGCGTGGGCAGGGCAATAAAGTGGCTGACAGGCCTGCCATTATTATTATTATTATTTTTTTAAAAACCCACCAAACCTGTGACATGAAGTTCGGCCGACGAGTACTTGGGTAATTGGCTGTAGGCGACGGAACCACGCTCAATTCTTATCATCAATTGGGACCCAGAAAATTATTTTAAACAATCTGCATTTAGTTTACTTTATTTTGTCTGTTTTTAATTTAAATAATAATCCAAATAAAAAATGAGGATAATTTTATATCTGACAGTTATTTTAAAAAAATATATATGCAAGAGCGAGAGAAAAACTTGAATGTAATTAGATCTTATGCGATAAAATTTGAGATGAAATATATTATATATAACATAAGGGGGATGACAAAATTTTGCATGAACTTGGTACATAATTTTATCCATGTTTCAATAACATTAAATGTACATTAATTTTTTTTATTAATAATAGTAGAAAAAAATATAGAAAATTTAATAAGCATTCTATTATAAAGATAAAGTTATTGAAAATAATAAAATATGATATTTTATTTAATTAAATTGGTACCTTTTTCATTTTAAATTATAAAATATTTTTAGATAAAATTTCACATATCAATAAATTTCATTAAATGTACTTAACAAATTTTATTTTTTTAAAATAAAAATATAAACTTTCTAAAATACCCATTATTTAATATGTTAAAAAGAGAATTAACGGAAGTTAATTATAGAGAGAGAAATAATAGTATTGAAATTATTGCATTTAATGAAATCTTAGTTTATCCGAATTGTTTTGTATTTTGGGATGAAAAAACTCTTTTAAAAGTATCATATAATTTGAGATAGAGGGAGTACAATTTTATTGGAGGGAATATAGACAACACGTTACACTAAGTCTATACAAAAATATCTTGAAGGGTGAGCCTTGGCATAGCGGTAAAATCGACACCATGCGGCAAGATGAGTCATGAAAAATAACCAGGTGAGCATGGCATAGTAGCTATTTCGCTTCGTCCCTTAAACGTGTAGCGGGGAGTTTGATTCCTCGCTCATACAAATGAAGAGAATTCTATGACTAGTCATTTACTCTCCTGTGGGAGACCCCATGACGAAGAGATTAGTCATTGCCATATGTGGTAAATGCCTTGGGCAACCCAAAAAAAAAAAAAAAAAGCCTCTGTTTGACTTTCCTCGGACCTACAGCGGGAGCTTCAAATTTGTTCAAATATGATTTAGGATTTATAACTAATATTCTTTACATTTTATAAGTAATATATGATTTATAAAAATATATATTTCTATTAGTAATATTGATTTAGATTAATATTTATTCATTCTACCTTCTTCCCGTTTTTTGGATCGATAATATTTGATCTACCTGAATAGTAAGAAGAAACCAGTCCATCCATCAAGCAAAACTAAAGCCCATTTTCTTGAGCTATCGATACTAGGGCTGGCCCTATAGAATAGACAAAACAACGAAGTACATTATTCACAAAAATTAAAAAAAAAACCGGAATAAGAAACTACGGTCATACACAGTATGACGCATAGTAGGTCTCCATAATCAACGACGAATTTAGGGGGCCAGCAGGGGCTGTGGGCCCCCACGCCCCAAAATTTTTTTTAAATAAATATAATTTTATTCATAAAATGTCAGAAGTATTGTCAACCTTAGATAACATTTTAATTATGGCCTCTCATATGATGAATTCTGAATTCATTCCTTGTTTACAGCCCAATACAATTATGGATTGAAATTGATATCTAACTGTTCCGGTCAGGTATAAAGCATCTTAAACTCACTTTTAATATTTTTTAATTATTATCCATACTTGTTAGGCTAAAGGTTAAAAGGGTCTTTGAGAGCTAATGGGGCCGGTTTGCCCCTCTATACTTGGGCTCTTTCTGTTACGTGGCAATGGGAACCAGGTCATCGAATCGTCTATTCCATGGTTACCCAAAATCCAAATCCAATCAGATTTTTTTTTTCTTAAAAGCCAAATCCAAAATTCCACGCTTATACAAAAAGGCAAAGAGAAATTTAAAACGAAAAAATTACCCGCTTTTGACTTTCTGAATGGGTAAGCGAATTTTTTTTTGATAAAAAAAGTTAATTTTATTAATTACAAAAAGATAATTACAAACACCAATAGTCGGGGGAAAAAAATACTCAAAAAAACCTAAGTAAACAAACTAACACACCAAAAAGGCTCATCAAAAAAATACAAACAAAACAAACCAAAAAAAGCACAAGACCACAACATTTAACCAACACCAGTTTTAGTCAAACCTGTAGATACAGAACCAAAAGCATCACTGCACACCACACCAACTAAAAAGGATGGACAAACAGAAACAAGTGTATGAAAAGTCAGGGACGAATGCAGAAACAAATTTGTGAGGGAATGGGAAATTGAAAACTACTTAAAATATGGGAGCACTAACACTGATTTTTATATTTTTTTGAATAAAAAAAGGTTCAAGAACCAATGAAATTGTTACGTTACTGGTGCAAGGACTAATCGCCGTTCATCAGCGTGGTCTCATCAACCTCGATCAATGTAATAACTGTAATGTTCATTATATTATATATCAATGTATAACTAAGCTTAATTATAACAAATAATATTGTTTAAAAGTATAATGAATGGTATAAGTTATCATTAAATTTCATGTAGTTAAGTAATAAGATATATGTTCCGTGACGTAAAAATAAGACGTGAAATGTCAAATGTATAAAAACTCATGGTATTCATAAATCACACATCATGCGGTTTATTTTGAATTCTTTCAAAGTTCATAATGGAATTTTTGTTAGGTAAAACACAACAATGGAGGGACGACAGATTTTCCCGTAGCCTTGGTTGCAGCTCCCCCACTATTTTTCTTCCAGTGATTGATCCGATGACTGAAGGATCATATAATTTATTATTTTATCCCACTGTAATTTATCTTTTTCATTATATTAATATATTAGCATGATTATCCTAAAATCAAGCGCTTTTTTATGATAATGAGTAGAATAAACCCATCCCCATTAATGGAATGGGTTTGGGGGATAAGATAATTAAACAGAAAATCAAGGAAGAAATAATAAGATACACGCAAACACTTTGTTTTTATAACACATGTCGATGACTCTTAAAAAAGAGGGTGTTTTGTTATGTTTATAATGACATGAAATTGGATGATTTTTTAATTGTTAGTAGGCATTAAGGGTCCGTTTGATTATTGAAGAGGAATGGAAAGGAATGGAATAATTTATAAAGAGCAAAATAAACTAAAATAAACTTTGTGGAATGATAAAAAGACAGATACAATAGTAGAAAAATTAAAGCAATAGGATGATAGATAGAGGGATGAGAATGGGAATTGTCATGAATAAAATAATCAATCTTCTTTGCTACCTTTCCATCACTCCAAGGCCCTCACTTATTTATAATTTTTATTTTTTTTAATCAATACACAACCTCATTTTAATCTATTTTGTTCACTATCAATACATTCTTTTCCTTTTCATTCAGTTTCAATAACCAAAAGAGCCTAATGTGGACACTTTTTTTAAAAATGTAGGCACCCTTTTTTAGTAAAAAAATGTGAATCTTAATTTGTCACATTATAAAAGATCAACCTTTTCCTACTTAGACCACATATTAATTGGTTGAAGTGGAATGATTATTAATAGAATAATAATGAAATAGAGACACGGATAACATATCATGTTCTATTATTTGAGAATAATAATCATCTCATTTCATCTCATTATAAGAACAAAAGGATAATTTCATTTCTTTTTAGATGAGATCACATTGCAATATCTGTGAGCTATTATTCGAGAATCATTATAAAATAAAATAAACGAGACGCAATATAAGAGTTCTCTCTCTCAAAACACTGCTCTTACGAGATAAATATATATAGTTATGATGGATAAAATTTTATTGCTTTGTCAATAATCTATGCTTCCAGCGATGAGATGAATATGATGTTTGTCACGTTCTAAAATATGTATTGATGAGTCAATTTCTTTATCTTTCAACTCATTATTTACCGTTTAACAAACTTTTATATTTTTATTCTTAGCCATATTGTTAATCCAAACTTTATTTGTCTTGATTTGATTAAATTTAGCACACTAAAAATATAAATTCAATGGTATTCTAATTATTTAGGCTGAAGCCACTGCAGCCATCACTTAGGTGTCTTCCGGATACTGCACTGCATTATTATCATCATCGCTATCATTATGACTCGTGGGTCCAACTTGATTGATTATTGTGACTTATGAGTCAAAAGCTTGATCAATTATTGCAACTTGTGTCCCGTGAGTCCAACTCACCTTGCCCATTTGTGGAAAGTCACAATCTTACTAAAAAAGGAAATTCAGGAGAAAACGAAAAGTTTTGCACCTCCCATATTCGTCACCAGTGATCGAAGCTCTATTATTTATTATTTCATCCATTTTATCAGTTGGCGGGCTCTACTATTAATTTGTGTTACTAGAGATATTTTGTTATTCAATCTCTTGAAAAATATAATCATCACGATGACTGCTATCTACAAAATAAGTTTCAGCAGATTAGCGTTTTGGTCTAACGCCAAACGGACACACAAAAAAGTCAATAAAATTGACATTTTTT